CATATTTTGAGAAAAATTCGAAAATATGAAAATTTTGTTTTAATGCATATTTGCATCACTCTATGACATAGTATGAAAGATAAAGAGGTTTGAGACCTTAGGTGTTCGTGTTTCTCCATAAAATAGAATTTTTGTTTATAGGGGGGTTTGTTCACTGAATAAGTGGTATATGAAAATTAAATAAATTATATGTTGGAAAGTTTGAGATGATGTCCATGTACCATGAAAATAATTTTAACATACATTAATACAGATTTAGAATGTGACTTGGTAATTTTCATCAACAATAAAGAGCCTACACTTTTTAATAAAGCATTTATAGAAAAACTCGATTTTCTATTGGGTTAACCCACATATTTCGAGAAAAAAATAAAAATTATGAAAATTTTCTTTTAATGCATATTTGGATCATTCAATGACATAGTTTGAAGGTTAAAGAAGTTTGAGACCTTAGGTGTTCATGTTTCTCCAGAAAATAGAAATTTCTTTATAGGGGGTTTGTCCACTGATTAAGTGTATATGAAATTTAAATAAATTACCGGAATAGAACAACCAACATACATCAGTTCACGATAAAAGGACCGGGCAGTCTTATCTAAATGATCAGACACAACATTTTGAGCCCTGGGTACATAAATGATCTTAAAATTTGGAAAACAGATTTTCAGCGTCAAAAACCTCTTCAGTTCCATTGAAAAGCTTGGCCATCCATGGGGATTTGTGAGTATCGCTATCTATTCCTTTTCGTTCAAAAGTTATTAATCGGTGTTTGATATTATATGTAATGCAAGGTTTAATTAGTTTCCTATATGGGCCGGGGATTAACATGTTGGGCTACCTACTGATCTCGTAGCGCTTGCCTTCCCGTCAAATCCAGTTCATGGGCCTACAACTTATGCTATTCATTAACAAGATTGGACGTACATGCATCATGCAAATCGATATGATTGTTTATTCTGTTTTACATCTTTGGTTACTCAAATTTGTATAATTTATGCTATTCGTGAAGATTTTGATGTATCTCGACCAAGTAATTATCGAAAGTTATTGAGTTTTTTTCTTAACCGAGTGAATGTAAAAATAAAGGCTATGGAGTGTATAACTGGAAGAGAAGTAAGGTAGCCGTCACTGAGGTTACAACGAAATGAGCAACAATCCCACTTGATAACACAAGTTTAGTAATATTAATATAACAAGGATATAGGTATCCTCTTTAATTACAAACTAAAAAAAAAACGAATGTGAACATTACTGTTGTCAATTTCTAGAGAGATCACAACATCATCTCTATCTATGAAATATGAAACTAGTACATTTCATTCACACATTATTTTGTGAAACATTATTTATAAGTTATACATCCATAACTAAACAAATAGGAGGATGAAAAAGAATGATATATATAGTAAATAAAATTAGGTAAGCTATGCTTGAAGCTCCTCGTTGAAGGAACCATTTATTTTCTCATAAACTTTTGGAGCCATCGATTTAGAAAAACAAAGACTATGATCACTTTGGAGGCGGCTTGATTGTGACATGGTTCCTGGCCTCAACTTGGTTCACGATCATCATTACCATCATCATAATGGTGATGAAGGAGGCGATCAGGGTTTTCTTTTCGATAGCCATTGTTTTATAAGCTCTTAAATGGTTCTTGTTTTTTTTCTTCTTTTTTCTTGTTAGTAATTTTAGATCAATAAACCAACGTATTTATATGTAAAACATTATTGTTATAAATAGTAAGTTCCTAATTTTAAAATTTCGTGGAATGTTTCAATTTCCTTTTCTTAGGTATTAGTCAAATGATTACCAACTTTTTAGATTAAAAAAAAAAAACTAAAATAGTATTGCATAATGTCTTCCAAATTTCTCATGTTCCATTTTTTAAAAAAAGATGCCAAAAATAGTAACCACTAATTGTTACTTCCCTATTTTAATTACAAAAAAATTGTCGGTTTTAGTTCAGAAACACATCTCAAACAGTTTAAGATATATATTAATAATACAAATGTAATTGGTTTGGTATGCATTTGATGATAATGAAAAAAAAGTTTAAATATATATAAATTACAGAAAAATTTATTTCAAATATCAAACAAATTTTAGAATATATCTATATATTAATTCTTTTTTCTTACTAAATACTTTATAATATTAGTTTCACATAATATATTTGAAATATATTTTACATATTTTAATGTATTTTAGTTTTTGAGATTAAATCATTTAATATTTCAGTTTCCATATCTAACTATATTTATTTTTAATTATATTTAAGGTTATTATATCAAGTTTTCATATCCACATGGGTAGACGATCTATTTACCTACGAGAACGATCATATAGCATCAGATCTCCACCGAAATATAACTTCATGCTAGCTTCCCACAAATTGAAAATTGCAAACTTAATTCTCCCCAAATCAATACTTCAAAACTTACTTACCCACACAAACGATGATTTTAATTAGTTTTAGTTGGTTTATTATTAACCAAACATCTTAAAACCAAGTAAATCAAACCAAAATCCAATTAAATCTCCACCTGAATCACCGTAAATATTCTTATGTAAACATTTTAATGGATTTATTTTACAACAGAAGAAGATTTTGTTTTATTTAATTGGATTTTAGTTTGGTTTACTTGATTTTCAGATGTTTGGTTAAGAATAAACCAATTAAAACCATCGTATGTGGGTAATTAAGTTTTGAAGTATTGACTCAGGGAAAAATATGTTTGCAATTTTCAGTTCGTGGAGATCTAACATGAAATCATAGTTCGATGGGAGATCTAATGATATATGATAGTTCTCATGGGTAAACGGATCGTTGGTTATCTTTATATTGTAGAATACCTTTTATATAATATAGTTTTTATCATAGTGGTCAAATTTTATAGTTTTCAAAATCTGGTAAGAGACGTTATATTATAGCCCTTAAAATTTTAATATTAATATATGAATATATTTACAAACTACGAGATGATTTCTAAATGGAGGGAGATAAATGCGAAAACCTAAATGAGAAGAGTTTGAATAAAGCGAATTTTAAATTGAGGTAGTTCCTAAACGGAGTGGGTTAAATGAGACATGTTTTCCTATAATAAGATCCACAACAAAACATTTGATGTGTTTTTATTGGATTTTCACCACTTAAAATGCGCTTTAAAATGTGGATCAAAATCTATTATTATATCATTAAGGGTCTGACTGGTTGAAACGCGGCGGTTGCGATTGCGGTTGCGGGAGTTTGCGGATGTGGGTGGTTGCGGTTTCTAGCGTTATTAGGCGATTTGTACGACTGGTACAGCGATTAAAAACTGGTGCGTTTGCGGGACATTTATGACTGGTTGATTATGAGATACTACAGCGGTTCAATAATAAATTTCCAATATTAANTTGCGATTGCGGTTGCGGGAGTTTGCGGATGTGGGTGGTTGCGGTTTCTAGCGTTATTAGGCGATTTGTACGACTGGTACAGCGATTAAAAACTGGTGCGTTTGCGGGACATTTATGACTGGTTGATTATGAGATACTACAGCGGTTCAATAATAAATTTCCAATATTAACATATTATAACATTATAAAAATATCAAAAAATACTGTTATGATAAAAAATAATAACTATTAATGTATTATAAGTAATAACAATATTATTTTTATATATTTATGTATTTATATATTTATCTATTTATATATGTATATTTATATATTTCTATATTTATATATATTTATATATTTATATATATATATATTTATATATTTATATATTTATATATTTATATATTTATATATTTATATATTTATATATTTATATATTTATATATTTAATATTGAAAAATATAGTGAAAATTCTTGATTTAAAGTTTTCATAAATAGATTATGATATTTTTAGTGAATTTAAATTAAAAAATAAAAGGTAGATATAGTTTTAGTTATATTATTTTTATTTTTATATTTTAATTTAACTTTAAAAGAAAAAGATTTTTTTTACCCACCCGCAAACGCCCGCAAACGCAAACGCTAGCTGAAACCAGCTTTTGATTTTAAGAGGTTGGGAGCGGTTTGAAGCGATTTATAGCGGTTTTTGTGATTGTTGTAAAACGCTAGTAACCGCCATCAACCGCAAAAGCTGCGTTTGCGGGTGGTAGCGGGGAAACCAGTCGGACCCTAAATCACATTCAACGCACGTTTCTTATCTTATGACAATGCTCGTGTTTACAATACAAAATAAATTAATACAAATACATCAACCCTTTTTCCTTACGTGTTTTTATAAAATTTATTTTATTGAATAAAAAAGTGAGACCAAATAATTCTTATGCAAACGGTTAAACAGAAGGATGGCTTATAACATGATCATGGATTGAGACATTGTTCTCCGTGTAAGATATTCCATGACTATTAACCACCTCAAATTCCACAGAACTACCAGACCCATCATCATTATTCGTAATCTGCGTCCTCAGTTCGATACAACTACAGTAGTCTATGAAGTACTTAGTTGCATCTTTGAAGTATTTGTAAAGTGTAGCACTTACTCCTCCCCCTGCAAATTTTCAAAATCCCAAAAAGGTCTAAAAGTGAGAGAAGTGTCTTTTATTGAGTTAGAACTAACAAGAAATGCATTTTTTATTTTGCTTACAGTGAGAGATTATGAGCAAATTCTCAGAAGGATGCTTGGATGCAAGAACCTTCAGTGTATGAACATATCGATCCTTGAAGGCTTCCCTAGATTCCTCCCATTGTTGCAGCTAAATAATAAAGGGACCGATATAATATATGTAAATCAAGTTTATACTCTAACGGGGAAGAAGATAAAGAAAGAAAATTGCGAACCTCTTTATAAACCATTTCCACATTATGATCCACTGTTCCCTCAGGAAACATAGCTTCAAGATCTGAGATTTTGAAATCAATTTTCCCATCTTTAGGAGCAACCTCACTCATTGTCTTTAGTTTCTCACACAATCCATATTCAATAGCTACCTGAAGCATAGGAGTGATAAGGCATATATAATTATCTCAAAAGTCAAAATGATCAAATACAGTTTCAAGAATGTAACAATTTTGTTAGTTATCAGTGCCGGCCCTGAGGGGAAGCACTACAAACCCCAGCTTCCAACCCTCCAAAAAATATTTGAAAAACTCAACCTTTTTCTTGGAAAATTATTGTTACATATAGCATTTTAATTACCAAAAAAAAATCAATATTCTTATAAAAATAGTCAATTTTTAGAAATTTGTTTGTGGTCTTCCCTATATCAGGATCGGCACTGTTAGTTATATATCCTAGAAAATCAATAATCATATAAAAAGATGAACATGCAATACAAATTTAATGTGTTTTTCTAACATAATGTGGACAAATGAATATAGAGTAATATTGTATAACCTTGAGCTTAGAGTTATCGATAGAAGGCATGTCATTAGAAAACGTAGCGTTGTGATCGACGGCTGAGAGAGCGGCGACAACTTCGGCAGCGGTCTGGATACATCGTAGGAAAGGAGAAACAAAGACACGGTGAATAGGAAACCCAACTTGAGATCGGATTCTTTGACCGGTTTGAAAGGCTCGAACCTTACCGTAGTGAACGAGCGGAGGATCCCACGGTCTCTCAGCTGTTGTAACCCAAAGTGGCTCACAATAGTCGGCTCGATCACCGTGACGCATCACGATGATATTTTGGTGGCCATTCATGTTAAAATTTAATTTAGCAGACTCCATTTCTCTTGTTATGTGTGGTCTTTACGAAATGGAAGAGGTATAAGGTATGTAACTATTTATACATGCAACGATCTTTCAAAACTTTCTTTTTCTTTGGTGTAAGTTTAATTCCACAATAGGAAATTGCGAGGAAGATCATCATTACACAATAAGTTATTGTTTTTTACATGACTTATTGAAATAATTACGAAGTTTACATTTATAGAATCCAACACTCTAAGAAACTACGTACCAAGCATGAACCGATTAAAACGGTATTCGAATTAACAGACTCGATTGTTGGTCGTGGCGTGACCTTTGGGAGTATTTTGGGAGTAATCTTATATCTAGATTTAAGATGGAAAATAAATTGAGTACTATTCAGCAATATATATCTAATGTCAGCATTTACTATACCAAACTAGGTGTTTTGCCCGCACATGCGGGCTTAATTATTTTTAAATCAATTTATAAAAATTATCAAAATAAATGATTATTTACATCCAAAAAATTCGACCTAAAACATTAAACTTTTTTACATGAAAAAGTTATTCACAATTAAAAAATATATTTTTTCCTTTAAAACTTTGAAAAATCTAAAGTCTATTTCATTTCTTCCTAATTGATAAAAATATAGAAATTCATCTTTCAATTTGAAAAATTGAATCGATAAATATACATTCAAAAATTGAGTTTACAGAAAGAATAATATTAGTTTGGGTAATAATACAATATATTTGAAATTATTTTTGTCAAACATGTATTTTTATTTTGAATAATCTTTTATTTTATATGATTAATTCATGTTCAAAGTTTAACTATATAAAATATAAATATAAATATAAATTTAATTTAATGTGTGAGTTCAGAGGTGAAAAATAACTTCACAAATATATATCATATTATTATATTTTTTTAGTTTAAAAATAGTTACGTATTATAATTTTTTTTTTCAATTTTCTCTATTGAATTATATACAATTAAAATTTTTACTTTATGAATATTTATTTATGTGTTTTCTGTTTTTCAATTTTTTTTATTAAAATATATTTTCGGATAAACACACAATATATATAAGAATTATCTTTTTATAATATATATTTAGATTATTACTAAAAATACATTTTCTGGATAACAACACAATATATATAGGAATTATCTTTTTCTTTTAAATATATATTTAGATTATAGATAATTCTTATCATTATTATTAATTTAAATCATTTATCCAATCAAATAAGTATTAAATTCGTTTTTATTTTTAGCTGATTTATATAATTGATTCATTAAAAGTATAATCGATATTAACCACTCCAACTTTTAACGTGAAAGCTCCATTGCGAAAAATCACTTCGCAAATAATAGTAATTATTAATTTAAATCATTTATCCAATCAAATAAGTATTAAATTCGTTTTTATTTTTAGCTGATTTATATAATTGATTCATTAAAGGTATAATCGATATTAACCACTCCAACTTTTAACGTGAA